ATATTTCTTTGATATGAAACAATTTTTTTCTCAGTGTATATAAATGCCGGGAAAAAAATTTTCTGTATATAATTAGATATAATTATATGTAAAGTGTTATATATAGAATATATCCATAATTTATGTATAAAAATATATAAATTATTTATGAAGTGGGGATACAGTTATATATGATTATACAAGGTGGGCCAAAAGTTTGGATACAGTCAAATTCTCGTAAGAAAGCAATTTTGAAAGAAATGTCTAAAAAAATAAAAGTTATAGTGTTGAAAAAGATTTATTTACGGATTTTATGAGTTTGACGGAGTGGAAGCGTCAAAGTTAAATGAAAGTCAACTTTATTTTTTTTTATGGATTCATATAACTTTCTGTATTTGCAAATTCATCGATGCAGTAATATATAATGATTAATATCAGTAATTGATTTCCCTTATATTATATAGAAAAGAATTAAAGTGATATTATCGAAAAGTGAATAGTTTATAAGATATTTCATATTTTGCGTTGAAAATATCAAAATAAAAAGTAAAATATCTCGAAAAATATTTATTTTTCAATAATCTTACCTTAATATTTTGATATGCAGAATGAATAAAGGAATCGATTTCTTGTCTTAAAGATACTTTACGATTAAAAAAAAAATTAATTTTGAAATAACCTTGAAAAATGCCATCCAGATGCAATTACAGTCACAATATTATGTAGTCTTCGAAACTCTATAACTTTTGTCTGAAGCATTTTTTCTACAATTAATACGTTCGCTACTTGGGTCTGAGAAGAAAATCTTGTACCACAGCCCAGGGTGCTTTTTGTTAGAATATGTCCTCAATTGGCATGGGTCTTTTTAGTATATATTTATAACATAAAAATATAATTATCTTTAGATCAAGGACATCCTACATCTATTTTATTGTTTTTTAGCTCCACAATACTGTCCATTTCCAAATTTATTGCAATACGTTATCTTAAACTGATAAAGAACACGCACTGCACATCTGCGGCGATGGGTTCAAATATAAAAATCGGGACGCCGCATATATGCGGCAGTGGTAACGAACGTGTTAAAAATAAAAAAGTTTTTGGAGGATGTAAATTAAAATGGGACACTTTGTATATTCAGTGGGTCAAATAAATTTCTGTATACTTTACTCACGCAAACTAATTTATTGTAATATAATTTACAGTCTAACGAAAATAAATAAAAATTCTTTGGAGTATTTTAATAAATATTACATTCTGTCAAATAAATACTGGGAATTCAATAAAACATAAAATATTGGTTTAAGTATCTAAATTTATTTTGTTACTTTCAAAATAGGCCCCATTTGATGCGATACACTTATGCCAACAATAATCCAATTGTCGAAACACTCTTTATAAACACTTTCCGGTATGGCCTGCAGCTCCTTCTGCGAATTTTGTTTTATGGCTTCAAAACGTCTTCCACGAAGTGGTAATTTGAGTTTGAGGAACAGGAAAAAGTCACACGGGGACATATCTGACGAATATAGTGCTTGATCGATGACATTCATTGGATTTTTGGTAAAAATTCGCGTACAATGGCCGATGTGTGGGACTGCACATTATCATGGTGCAAAATCCAAAAATTGTTCTTCCACAAATCTGGCCTTCTCCGGCAGACATTCTCTCTCAAACGCCTCATAACGCTCAGATAATATTGTTTATTGATTGTTTGTTCCTCCGGAAGGAATTCCGAGTGGACAACACTACGATAGTCAAAGAAAACAGTCAACATGACTTTGATTTTCTCGGCCTTCTTTGGATGCTTTGTATCATTCATATGCTCGTATTTTCGATAAAGCTAACTCACCGTAGGCCTTCTCCAACATTTTCAACGACTCAGCACCAGAAATTTTGTTGATACCACAAAATGTGAGGCAAACCCTTTGTTCGATATTTTTATCCATTTAAAAAATCGTAAAGTACACTTGAGGTCGACTAATAAAACCAACAGCTG